CTAAGTTTAGTTGATTTGTGAGCTTCAGTGGGGGTGGGGGAGAGACATACAATGCCTTCGGCCTAGAGTTGTGCTCAATAGAAAGGATCAAGCTCAGCTATCTCATTCATTCCTCCAACTCATTTGCTGATTGTGCAATATTTGTTTACAGTTTTTGCAGAGGCAGATGAACAAGTTCAAATCCAATGAACTAGTAGTGCCATGCATTGTTAAAGTTCACTCAATCCAATCAACTATCTTCCAGTCACGTTAACCATCAAAGATATGCAGAACTTAGTTGATTAACACATTCAGATAATGCAATAGGTTAAAGCAGCCTGAGGCATTGCAGCTCTTGATCTGAATCTGAGACACAGAATACACCAAAAATTTGTTTTAGAGATGAAAAACTGTGAGAGTTTCTCATTGAAGAAATGCAAATGCTTATACTCAATGTGCTCTCACTTGCTGAGGTATCCTACACGTTAGAGAAAGAGGCTAGTAATTTTACAACAAAAAGAAAGGTGTTCATTCTGACACTGGTACAGATTCACCTCGTATTCAGCCAGTGAAAACAAAAGGAAATAACATTCTTTATTTCCATTGCCTAGATTTTGATTCCAGCTGTTGGGAAGACATGGGAGACAGCAAGGAAAAGCTTAGCTATTTTATAAGTAATTCTGCAGAAAGAGCTATACAAATTTGAAGCCACATGCTGTTCATGTGCACAGTTATATTGCGGGGGCACATACAAACCACATCCAGCGATTTCACCTCAGCATGCCCACGCAGGTCCTGATGCGAGCACTCGGCAACAGACAACCTGGGAGCAGATACAGCTAACAACCTCATCTCTCCTTGAAACAAAAAGCTTTGGGAGTTCTTAAAGGGTGCTACTCTGCTCAAATAAAGTAACAGAATAAATGTGAGATGTAGGCGTGAAAGATTACACTGTGTGCCTGGTTTGGAAAATAATGTTAAAACTGCTCATTTCCTGTCCTACTCCAAACTTAGAAGCCTTGTTCAGTAGAACACTGGTATGTACACAAAGTTGGATCTCCTCCAGCAGAACACAAGTATAAGTTAAATAAGATAGGAACACCTGATTTTTTCAGAATGAAGGGAAATGTGATCTTGAGCCTTCCCACTCATTAGCTGCTAACAAAGCACACATGATTTGTGGTTGGTAAATAAGCAACACCTGGCTTACTCTGGATAAATGGGATAGACACTGCTTCTGGGGATAAACAAAAACTAGAGCAAGAAATTGGACGTCCATCCTCTAGTAACAAAGTCAATCCTTATCTGATTAGAGCATAAGCAGTTGGAAGGCACGCTTGTATGAAGCTTAACACACATGCAGTGGACAATCAGTGCCAAAAGTCTGGTAATTATTATATCATCAATAGACAGGACAATGTCCCTAAGCTTTCAAATGGCTGTAAGTAAGTAGTCATATTGAGCTAGCAAAGCTTGAGAACTTGTAGTATAAATTTGTGAAGTCTCAAAACCTTGTGTCTTCTGAGAGCATCCTATTTATAGAACCTCTGTCAACTGGAATGGGGATAACATAAAACAGTCACCAGACAGGATGACAGCGGTCCCAGAGAGATGCATTTAATAAAATCACAATGTATTAGTAATTTGTCTTTTGAGATCCAAAACCCTCTACTCTAAACATTACTGATGACAGAGCAGTTCCATCCTACAAGATTTTTGTTTAAAAGTCTTCCAGATAAGAACAGCTTCAGAGAGCAGCAATTAATTTGCTCTTGCTCTTTAAAGTCTACGATACAGGAAATGAGACTGACAAAGCTAAAGGCTGCCGCAGTGTTACCCTCGTCACACTCCACTACCTGAACCTGGAGGTAAGCATCTTGCTTTTTCAGAAAGAGACACCAGTTTCTTTGAAGAACTGGTAGGGGAGTCATTCCAAAGGCATCTGGTCTTTGATTCCACTGTTTGGAACCAGGCTTCAAGTCAGTAAGGCAATCTGCATTTAAGAATCATAGAATCATAGAATCATAGAATCGTTAGGGCTGGAAGGGACCTTCAAAGGTCATCTAGTCCAACCCCCCTGCAAGGAACAGGGATATCTCCAACTAGATCAGGTTGCTCAGGGCCTCAATGAGAATGACACGAAAGAGGAAGAACCTCAGGAGTTACTTAGGATCTGGGAGAAGATTTCTCTTGGTGGAGAAAGCTGGAGACTTTTCTTACCTATAAATCTATAGTAGTAACCACAGCTCCAATATTAGAGCCCACTGGGAATACTAGTCTTCCAATCTGGCTCTCGGTTACAACCAGCAAGGCTAGGATTAGGAACAAATTTCTGAAAGCACACTGAGACTACATAAAATCAAAAATCCGGATCAGAAGAAGTTGCAAAACAGTGGAAAGTCCAAGTCTGCAAATTAGAATTTCAGGAACAAACCAAAAAAGCTCACTGCTTCACAGGCATTTCTCAAGCTTCTGCTTTTTTTTTTTTTTTTTTTTTTTTTTTTTTTTTTTTTTTTTAAATCCCCTCCACCTACTCTGGCTTATCATACTGACTGAAGCTAGGGTCAGAACTTCAAATACAGAACTCAACTTTATTCAAACATCCCCAATCATCTTCCAAGGCCAGAAAATTCAATGGCATGATTATTCTGACAGTAAAGAGACCATTGTTTTAAGAACAGAAGCCCACCCTAACAATGGTCAGTAGATTTGTAGGCAGAAAGTCAACTTCTCTTTTCTCCAAGTAACTCAAAAGTTGTGTCAGAACTCTTGGGAGCTCTGGACCAAATTGATCTATTTGCTCATCAGGAACAGCTGGATATGTTGCCATTTCTCCTTTCAGGCCTTTGAATTACAGTTCTGTAAAATACAACATTAACTCATAAGGTATACTTCACATAAGCCTTACAAACATTCTCTATACCTATAAAAGGGAAAATCATGTTTCATTCAACTAAAACACAGATTCATTTTTGCCTTCGTAGAGTTCAAGAACAGAGAAGGAAAACTCTCACACCTAAAAAGGAAACAACACAAGGCAAAAAATAATAGAAAATAAAAACCCATACACATTTAAAGAAAAGAAAAAAAAAGAAAACCAAGGTCATTGACTAAAAAGCTGTGAGGAAACCCTTCAATTCAGTGGAAAGCTGAGAGAAAGTAATGGCATGAGACATGCTCTAGCCAGGTGTACTATCTCTATGCCATATGTGGAGCACACACCCCCCATTTTCCTTAAGGTTCAAAATCTCAGGCCTTTCTCTCCATCCATTTCTGAGAATTTTTACATTTTCCTAAACTGAAGATTTTTAGGTACTAATACATCAGATAACTGAAAGGTGGAAACCCTTGTTTCCCATGCTAAATCAGACCGACTTCAGCTGGTTTTATTTAGTAAAGCACAAAGCTCAAGTTAAGCTTTGCAAACAGACCAGTAGTACCACACTAGAACAGGACCCCAAGTTCAGATTAGTTGAGAGCAAGAGAAGAACAAGTTTGTGTTGCTTAGAATATATCATGAAGACATATCCTTCAGTTTACTCAAGCACTCATTATTACTTATTGGACTGTCATTTAACAGTTCATACTGAATGTAGTCAGGCACTAAAGTATAACAGAATATAAATAAAACGGTTGAAGTGTTTTCCAAATAGACTACAATTTTAGTTGAAATTAGTGTGATTAAAAAAAAAAAGTATTACTATATAGATATAGAAGTCATATAAGCAAGAAATATGACAGCTCTTAACACTAGTTTCCATAAAACAAGCTTACCGGATCAACTTGTCTCTCCGGTTTTTTGGCATTTTACTACAGAATTACATTAACTGATTGATATCAGAACAAAAACAACTTTCGACATATTTTTTTTTTATGTTCATAACGTGAATTAGGTTAACTGCTACTCATGTCCTATTAAAACTGTAATTCGATGAATTATGTTGTAAGGATCATCAGCTTTCCTAAGAGATCTAACACAGGTGGTGCCATGAGCAGGTACACATCCCACCACTAAGCAGCAGGTTGTTTGGCAGACATTCCTCAGATGAAACAACTGCAATAATCTCTACTTTGAAGAAGGCATGTTTCAGAGGAAAAGTTCAAAAGGTGTTTAATTCCCAGAAAGCAATAATCCTAAAACTATCTATTTTGTTCTGAAACCTGCAGAAAATACCTTCTTGACACATCAACTGACCTTTCTTTTCTAGAAACCTCTAGCACACTGAAATAAATCTCACAAGAGAAAATGTCAGAGACGTGAAAACAATAAGCCTATTTTTGCTGAACATTGTTGATAGGAATATAAACTCAGTTTTCAAGTTTATAAAGGAATATCTATGTCAATAATGTCAACAAAAAAAGGAATTGCTACAACAAATTATTTATATTTATTATCTTCAGGGAAGTAGAACACACACACACAACCTTTCTCTAAGGGATACTGGCCCTAATAACAGAAATTTATTTAAAATCAAAATCATATAGATCCTAAACCAACTATCTTACAGAATGTTTTTGAGAGTTTATTTCACAAGAATAAATAATGGCATTCGAATAATGTTTCTTTTGCAGGGAGACATAGGGAGAAACTTCAATTTAACTGTAGGCCAGTTTATGAATAACAACCCATGCATTCTATACAGTTTAGTTTCTTAAATATTAAAAATAAATAAACCATAGCTGTAGCAGTCCTTTGCAGCTTTTCCCATTGCTTAGTAAGGCTACATAAAAAAGGCCTTCTCCTTTAGATTACATACCTTAAAGAAACCTGTACACTTATTTGAAAAAGAGTATCACTGTCATAATGAGATTTGGTTTACTGAACAGAGAAATAAACAGAACACAAGAAGTTCAATCAAAGCTACTGTTCAGTGCAAGGATTAAAAATAAAGGAAAAGAATACACTGGTTATTGCTTGGCCTCCACCAGCCCTACTGTGAAATTTTCATATCCTTTTAAAGATGTATCCGGTGCTCTGTAAAAGAAAAACGCACAAATACACATAAGAAAAAAGTGCTCACACTGTTTGGGCGTTGAATGGCAGCTTCATGTTGCAGTCTGACCCGCTGTGGCATCATCACATCATCCTGGAATAAATAGCACACTGTTACTGAAGGTAAAAAGGGTCACAGTGCAGTCCTCAGACACACATCAGAACATGCTGCTAAATTAACAGCATTTCACTGGCTTGCAGTCAGAAATACAAATGGAACAAATATTAAGAGACTTTGCACTTTTAGTGGATTCAATTCAATCCTGTTCAAACTGGAAGTGATCCAAACTACTATGTGACAACCATGTTGTGATCTCAGCATACATCTTACGGGCACCCCCACGTTTTACATTCCCAAAGAAAATCACTAACTCTAATAGCAGCACTGGCAGTATGTGTGGACATGGAACTCATCTTGATGAAAAGCATGAGATGAGACGTTCTGGCAATATAAGGAAATGTTCGTTGTAGTCTGGCTGTACCTTGTCTCAGTGATAGGAAAAAGCCTTCAGTCTCTAGATCTACCAACATGTCATACTTCATGAACACAAAAACTAATATTTGTGAAATGATAAAATTCTAAGGGGGGCGAAGGGGGAGAAAAACCCCACATTCATAAAATGCATCGGCTTTGACACCGGCTTTAAAACAGACCTAGATTTACATTTGATGTTAATACTTCTCTCACCTGTGGCATAAAAGTCTATTTTTTTACATACAAAAAGAGAGGTCGCCTTGTAAAGAGTTAGTAAGCTTGCTATCCTTCCTTGAACAGATAGGAGATATCCCTTTCAAAATTATTTCAAAATTCCCTGTTCAAAATAATAGCCTTTCTAGACTACAGTCTTACAGTCTATTAAAACATCCATCTGTAGCACAAATTTTCTTCCCTAAATTTAGTCTCCTGAAGTTTCTAGCTGTATTATTTTCCATTTTGGTGTGGTATTTGTTCCCTTTTAAAGGATGAGTTCAGTCCTCCTTAGATGCCGGTTAAAGCTAACAAAGTCTATTTCTTCTCAGAGCATTTCCAAATAACCCTACCTTATCAGGCAAACTTAATTCAAAGGAGCCCTGAATTCCTGTTCTACATCCATTCTTTTAACAGTTCCTCAAATTAAATCATTCTAAGGAGATTCCTACTAAAGCAAAAAAATAAATATTGAATTTCCAACAAGTTTCACATTAAAACTTTCAGTCAAATCAACAGCAATAAAAAAATATATTAGTGCTTAATTAGCTAGAGCTTACAGAATGACTTTGGTATAAAAGCGACACTATAGTTTTATCCAAAAAAAACACAAAGATGAAAAATGTTTTGGAATTAGATCCAACTATTTAATACAATTCAAGGTTAAAGACAAAACAACTTAACAATAAAACTGACCCTTACAACATGCAAGTTTATAACAGATGGAAAGAATACACTCTCAAAAGCATTTTTCTGTATTTTTTATTTAGGATATATTCAGTAACAAGCATAAGAGATGTTACTGATTTTCAAAGCCAATAGAGTGAAAAAAACCCTCCTGACTACTCAACCTCTGTACATCAGTTACTTCAAAACTACAATGTCATTATTTACTATCTAATCCATTTTATCAATAAGGCATCAGAATTCAGGTACTGTATCAAACAAATGTTCCAGTAAAACTTTTACTCTATTTCCCATAAGAAGAGCCATAATCCTATTTCTTTATGCAAAATACAAAGCTAAATTTTGTAAATTAAAACCTGATTCTCATTTAAACAATAGGAGATATATTTTAACTGAGCTTTGTTCACTCTTTTATAAATTATTTAAGATTCTTAGATGTCTTCTATTTAAATCCAAAAAAAAAGAGGATGCAAAAGAAATCCATCAAAAAGCAAGGAATTTAAATGCTTAGAACAATGTTACTATTATTTCTTTCAATATAAGACATATGCTCTTGTGCTGAGAGCCCACCGTTTATGATCCTGCAAAACAGAGATAAATTTAACAGTACTTACACATTCACAAAAATGAAAAATAACCTGCTTGATTTAAAAAGGTTAAATCAATGTGAAAGTACTCAAACCAAACTCAAATATCCTCTTCACCAAACGGGTCAATGTTATGTTTTTACAAGCTGAGAACTCGACAGGAAAGGTCTAGTTTCCCTTAATAAAACATCATTTTGATGCTATTGGCAAAACTAACAAGTCTACAGATTTGGGTCTTAGGCTATCAACACGATCATCAGTATTCTGTAAAATCCAGCTACAGAGGGGGCACTGTAACCACAAAAACTTCAAAATGCCTTTTTTTTAAAATACATTTTTGTTCTCTAACGCTGGAAATCTCTATGAATTCTTATCCTGAATGACCTTTAAAAAAGTTTTTTGAAAAAGAACTTTCTCTTTGGGTTTTGTTGGTCGGTTGGTTGGTTTTTTTTATTTAACAGTATTACACATATGATGCCCTGCTGTATAGTTCCGTGATACTCTCCAGGTTCATGGAAGGAGAAGGAAATAAATAAAAAAAACAAACCAAACAATAGTATTTTAAGACATAACTCCAAATAAAATAATAAAGCAATTAGGCAATGAGGAAGAACAGCACAAAATACAAATCACATCCCAGACAAAATGGAGTCACATCAGTCATTTCGATTTTAGACTGAGGCTGGGCAACTACAAAAGTAAGCTCAGTGCAAAGTGCAACTTCAGTGCTTTACAGACTCTTTACTATTGATGACTGGGCAGGTAAACACAAAGTGCAAAACAGAATATATTTGTACAGAAATAATCATAAGCAATGCGGTTGTATTCTAGATTGATGTTCAAAAACCAAATTAAATTCTAATGAGTGAAACCAAAAAAGCCTGTACCACAAACTAAAAGCACTTCAAAAATTTTTCAGCTTCATAGGTCATTGATAGGAGTGAGATGCCCAACCATGCACTGTACTGGTAAAAGTTTATGGAGCATGTAGTGATAGGACTAAGGGTAAATTTAAACTGAAAGGGGTGATTTAAGTTAGATTTAAAGAAGAAATTTTTCCTTCTGAGGGTGGTGAGACACTGGAACAGGTTGCCCAGAGAAGTTGTGGATGCCCCATCCCTGGAAGTGTTCAAGGCCAGGTTGGATGAGGCTTTGAGCAACCTGGTGTAGCGGAGGGTGTCCCTGCCCATGGCAGGGGGGTTGGAACTGGATGATCTTTGAGGTCCCTTCCAACCCAAACCGTTCTAGGACCCTATGATACTACGAGTTTAAGCAACTACAGTGTTAGACAACTGAGATGTTACAATATTTTATCCAGTTGTACATTATGAATCACAAATTTTCTAACAAACCTGTTTATGATATAAGATTCAGCAACTGTGTTGCCAGACTTTGGTTTCTACAGTTAACAGAGTTTGGTTGCCTTTTTTGGTTTAAAACCGAGAACAAAATCCCAGTAATTAGACAAACACTTCTGTCATGTCAGAACAAAAAAAGTACGTATCTGAATGTAGCTGCTATATCAAAAAGGGAAGTACATTTAGTTTGTTTCTGTCTCCTAGGTGCGAGGAGGGAAGATAACAAGGCTAGCAGTGAAATACATTGAATATATAATTTTAAAAAACGGAAGTGTAACAGGAGTTTCCACTGAAATGCAATTTTCCCTGCCAACATCGAAGTCTTTAATGGTTGTCTCTTAGCAAACAAAAGGCAGACAGGATGAAGAGAGATTCCCCTCATTGAAAGAACTGAGGAAAGAACAGTTTTAAAATAAATGCTAGGTAAATCCCTGCCTTCACTAAGCATATACTTGCAACAGGATAGATAAAAATAATCTGTAAGTAAATCTATTTTCATGTGACTCAACTCACCAACTTTGTAGGAAAATTAAGAAAAATCTCAGGTAATAGCTGCGTTTACTGTCATCTAAATACGTACATATATACAATGCAAAGAAGGCCAAACAAACAGGTAAACAGCAAGAAAGACAGTAACACAAATAGAATCCTCACTCAAAACAACCCAGAATTTACAGGAATTTTCTTGATTACAAACACACTTCCTGTTCTGCAGTGTCCATTCTGAGTAGGAAAACAATTTGCTGAAAGATGGGAGAATGAAAAAGACTTTATTTCATATGAAAGGCCAGCAGGGATTTCTAAACAAGCCCAGATGTGTTTCTGCCAGTGGGGGGCCGTGATCTCCATCACCTTTCAGTCCGACAGGCATTCTGCCTGCTTGTGTTCCTACCAAATAGATCCCTTCTGCAGAAGGCTGCCTTGCTCCTGTCAGCTTCCACACCACTCACAGATGCTGCCAAATCAGAGAAGCCAGTTATACAACTATCAGCTGGTTTGTTTTCCTTCCAACCAGAAGCACCATTCTTTATAAAAACACAAGCAATTTATACTGAGCTAATTGTTTTGTTTTACTTTACTCATATGTTTAGTTGAAGAAAAGGAAAACTAAATCAATAGACTGAGCTTAAGAATATTATTCAAAGCTGCTGTTGTTTCAGTATGTGTTTCTTAAATCAGTTTGGGTAAATTCAAATGACGAGCATTCACTGGCCTCTTCAACCAGGACGTCTGGTTGAATGAGTGAGAACTTGATGATTTTTCCTTAAAAGTGGGGTTTTTGCACTTCAAAAGTAAAACAAAGCATACAACTCAATGTACAATACACATTTACTTTTTAACACCAAGGACAAGTTCACATAAAACAACACACTAATTACAGCTCAGTATTGAAGTGCTTTCTTAAGCTTACATTACAGACTCAGAATCACATGCTTTTGTAAATTCTTTCGCATTTGGCTGCTCCAAAAAAAAAAAAAAAAGCTGACACACTCCACCTTCAACCTTCTTTCCATTGCAGCTATTACGCATAAAATACAACCTGTAGCAACATCGAGAGGAATGTTTGACTTACTGAGAAACAATATGGCATCGCCAAAGTCTTTTGATGCATCAAATAGTCATTCATTTATCCTGCACCTGCTCAGAGTATAGTGGAAATCTTTCTTTGCTATTGTTCAGTTCAGTTCCTTGAACCAGGGAAGTAAAAAGCCTGAGACCTCCAAAATCTGGCCTGTCAACAGCACTACCAAAGCAAATACACTGATCCCAGGCA